AAGAAGAATTCGTAAAAGTTTTTAAGACTATCCCTACGAATTCGATACAGTTCGCATCAATTCGGTACGAATCCGCAAAATAAGGGTAAAACCCGAATTGTTGCATCAGTTTTACCCTTAAAAACTGAGATTCGTGAATTCGACTATAGATACTTTGTCCACACATCTCTAAGTTTGTTTAGTTTTTACTTCTCTATCCAAGCATCGCTTACTTCAGCTGAACTATTTTAATTTTAAAAGGGTTCAATTTTTTAAAATTCAAATTAAACTCAAAAGTTGGAATTTTGAGTTGAAGACTTGATTTTTTTGTCTCAAAATACTCGCCTTTAGACGCTGAATCCAAATATGTCATTAAAAATGTTTCACAAATTGGAAATGTTCGTTAGAGCTTTCAACAAAACACCGGGAAGTTCGCTTGGGACACGGAGTTTTTTGAAAATTTTTAGATAGGCTTATAGAGAACTACCTCCTCTATCTACCTGTAAATAGAGCGCAAAAAGATAATTAAAATTAACAAAGTTATACGAATTAGATGTCCAAAGAGCCAAAAAGCGTTTCCAATTGCCCCAGTTTATTCTAGAAGTCAATCTAATTCTACATATAAAAACATCAAGATTTAGCGACTTCTTGATTAGATTTGAAGACTGCTCATAAAATTCTGATAGGTCAAAAAATATCAAAGATTGCCCGATTCATATAAGCAAACATTAGAGCTGTATCAAGTAAAAGATATCTTATTGTGTTTCCATCTCGCATATGCTACACATTTCATTTCCCTTCTGTATCTACACAATTTCCTTTTCAGCTTTTAGTTCTTATCATTATCAGTCATAACCAAATTTCATTGAAATGCACATGTATCATCTCGTTTTCGCTACAAAGAGTGCAAGGTACAAAACTTTTTTAGATAATTCACTCTGTTTACTGACAAACGTTCAGATCTTAATTTCACTTCGTTAATCAAATGTGATTAATCCGACGTGATTTTATGTTTAGATTGTTCTTTCTTTTTTTCTTCGTCAACAGAAACTACAAAGGAATGTACAGTATATGCAAGATGGAAAAAGAAGTACATGTGTCTTATTTGAAATAGTTCTATTTCTTTCTTTACGAAAGAGAAATGCATGTGACCAATAACGTGACTGTTTAACAGAAGCAAGATGTCTCGAATTTTCTTTCTTCTTTCTTCACTTGATCAGTGTCATATAAATATCGTGTGCTTGCTCTGTAAAATGTAAGGAAAAGAAGAAAGAGTACATTACTTATATGTTTGCTAGCCTTAAGTAATGGAAAAGAACAATAGTACTGATGCTAGTTTATCTTTGTATCTACTGAAACCATTCTTCAAAGGCGATTCGTTAGCCAATGAATTTGGCTTCGTTAATTATTATCATTCAAATAAAATTAATCGCATTCTTCACGTTGTCGCATTGCCGTTTCTCGTCATCGCTGTATTAATGTTCGCTCAGCTCATCGATCATTTATTACCAAAGTCTTTACCACTCAAATTCTCATTTGTATTCGCAGTTCTCTATTGTATATTATTTTTTCTCTACGATAGACGTGTTGGTATCGCTTACACGGTTCTATTTGGTTTTCTCTGGTGGCCAACAATTACGTTCGCTGGTCATCTATCGTTTTTACATTCACTAGTCTACGCCGTGTTTATATTATTATTCGCTCAACTCGTTCAATTTATTGGACACATTGGATTTCAACTTCAGTCACCAGCATTTCGATTTTTCGAAGCCACTGTCACAACACCCGCATTTCTCATGCTGCACATGTTGAATGGTTTAACCGGATATAAAGAAGATTTTTTTAAAGAAATTCGTAAAGAAACTCAGCAATGGAAAGAACAATTAGACGATGATAAAGAAAAATAAGAAAAAAAGTGGTTGTAGTAGTACTTTTGTTTGTTTGCATTGTATTCAGATTAGAAAGAAATCATTTGAAATAAAGAAAAGAGACGAAAACAAATTGAATCAAATAACCACCATCATCATGCAGGCACATGGAGAACAGTCTGGGATGAATGAGATTACGTAAATTGCTGTTTTGAACTGTTAAAGATTTTGATTCATGATAGATCTAGAATAGCCAATAATGAGGCTTGAGAATGGATTGGCACATACCAATGCCACATAATTGGATGCATATAACGGAAGGGGTCCAAAATTTTCGGGACTGTCTACAGGGTACTATTGCGTTCCAAGAGATACCTTAAAAAGGTGAGTCCACGAATCATTTATTGCGTTATTAACATATGTAACTCTCAGTTGAAATGGATCAGGCCTTTTTTATTTTTTCCTAACTCTAGCAGCATCGTTTACATCTATTATTTCACGAATAGCAGCCTTTACATCTAAAATATTCGTATGATTTGGAACCAGTTTCTGTTGGTAACATTCTAATGCTCTCTGTAAACATTCACGTGCTTCAGTCTCTTCTCCCAAGCTATGATAAACTTTACCCATAACATGTAGATTACATGCAATTGATAAATGATCGGGTGGATAAATTTTTTGTTTCCTTCGTAATGCTTCTTGTAAATGGTTCATAGCACCTTGGTCATTATCACCTTGATAATAGGCTAGTCGTCCTATACTAAAATAGCTCATAGCTATTTCTGGATGATCTGGTGGTAGAAATTCTATTCTTACATTGTACGCACGCCTATAGTAATTGGATGCCTTACGATAGTTTTTTCGGCTAACATAGATATCACCCAACCCATTATGGCAAAAAGCAACATTTAATTCTTGACCTGGGAATTGTCCATATAATTCAATAGCTTGTTTATAAGTGCATTCTGCAATAGCGTACTTACCCTGACAAGCAAGAACACTTGCCGAACGCGCCAGCGTCTGAGCTATACCATGGTTATTATTTAATAGTGTATAGATTTTACGTGACTTTTCTAAATATTTCAGTGCCAGCTCATTATCACCCTCAGACACATATGCATCACCAATATAAAAATAAATATTAGCGTCATCATTATTCTTTCCATAGCACGATGATAATAATAGATTTTTAGAATCTTCCTCATTATTATCTTTTTCAATCGATAATAAATGTTTTAAATAATCAATTGCTTTTCGATGTTTGCCCATCTGAATTAATAATTGTCCGAATACAATTGTTTCATTTTTACCCTTCATTTCTTGTGTTTGATAGTTCATGTATTCCTGAGCAATTTGTTTTCCTTCATCCGTCGCATGCATTTGTATCAACCAATATTTAGTTTTCCTGTTATCCTTGTTGTATGTCTGTTCGGATATTTGATCTAATCGAAATGTTGCACCTAAACCAAACAACACTTCGTCTTCTCTTTTATAATCAGTGATTTCCGATATATCGGCTAGAATAATTGATTTCAGTGTTAAATCAACTTCAATTTCAAAAAAGACGCATACTTCGTCTTGTTCATTAAATTCTTGATCAGCAAAAAATGCAGCCACTTCGATGTTTCGACTCGTTGATAGAAATCCATTTGTTGCTATCAGACCACGATCGTCAACAATTAACTTAATTTTATCCAGTTCGTTTGTAGACATCTTTTGACCACGATAGAGCTTCATTTTTGTTTGTGAACACGCAAGACATGAGGATATAAATTTTTTCGATAGTTCGTTTATATTCTTACAGAGATCAACGATATAATAACGAAATGTATACAAAGCTTCAACGTCTTCTGTACGCAATGCTCGATTAATAATTGGATATAAAAATTGTTCTTTTGTATATTCATTAATAGCATTTTCTGATTTATATTCACGTTCGAAACGATCAATAGTCTCCATTGCTGTTACATTTATATTGCGATAATAATCACGACATCGAGTAAAGAAGTCATGTTTCGCTTCATCTGTATCATGTGGTAATTTCAGCAAACTTTGTTGTAATAATTGAAACCAGATGAATTCAGCTGATTCCATAGTTAAATCACGTGTAGTTTTTTGTGCTGTTGTATTATAAAAATTAAATATTGTTGTATGAGTGATTTGTTCAATATCATTTCGTAAAATAGGTTCTAATGTGTCTATATTCGTATAAATACCTTTGATTTTATGATATTCAATCATTAATGGTGCGTATCTATCATGATCCATACAGTAGATATATACGGAATGAATGTAGTGAAATAAATGAATTTTATTTAGAATATCTTTTGCTGATCCGCCAGAAAGAACTAAAAATACGGTTTTATTTTGATTTTCAATTGAAGATATATATTCAAAAAATTCCTTGTCTGACTTATAAAATTGTATATGGTGGGTTATTCTCGAAAATGTATTCTTTGTTTCGTCTGGTTCCGTATCCATATTTCTGTCAAACCAAATTAGTATAACCTCATTGGTGTTTGCTGTTGTAATCGTACCAGTTGTGTCAGTGTAACCGAATATAACAGTGGAATCACTAGCGCTCCTTTTGTGGGGTGGATTATATCTGGTATGCCTCGGGCCCATAATTTGAATATAAAAAGACGACCTTCAATACGATATAATAAGACCTGTGAATAGTCTCACCTGCATCGTATACTATATAGCATAATAGAGTATAGTCTTGTGTAATAACCGAAAAGAAATAAAACGAAGAAAAAATATTTTCGTTTACTTGGTTTTTACACATGATGTATAAACGCTGTTCTGGTACGCTTCAGTGGTCATTATAATGCGTTACATTATTTTGATGCCCGGATATGTCCTTTACGACACTGGAAAATAAAAAATTAGGATCTGTTTTCGAGCTTTTGGGTACTTCCATTCAGGTCCGCCCACTTTATACAGAATTGGAATTTCTCTCAATTTTACTCAAAGTTGGAATTTTGAGTTGAAGATTTGGTTTTTTGTCTCAAAATACTCGCCGTTAGAGACCTTCAGCGTTTACCTTTTTAATTAGAGCTGAGGCTAATTAATGACTAAAACTGGGAGATTCTCACTATCTGTAGTACAATAATTGGTCTATTTATCTGTGCAAAAATCATTAATTAATATGATTAGCTTAGTTCGTAAACTAATTTTACGAATTATTTGCAAATTGATCAGCACTATGTTTGATCTATTCTCTGTTTACGAATCCGCAAGAAGAATTCGTAAAAGTTTTTAAGACTATCCCTACGAATTCGATACAGTTCGCATCAATTCGGTACGAATCCGCAAAATAAGGGTAAAACCCGAATTGTTGCATCAGTTTTACCCTTAAAAACTGGAAAAAAAGGAAAATTCGTATATCCCTCGTGATATTTTATATATGTCGGTATATGCATAATCATTTCATCATTGTATCTGATAATTTTTAATAGTACTCTGCTTAAAAATATATTTTACTCATTCTCGATAAAGAAGTCGTTTTGAAATATGAAGACTTACTACCTATGCAATGAATTTAATTTTTAGGAATTTTCTTCTAAAATACATTCTTGTTTTAGCGTCAGTTTGAGAGAAAGCTCATCAATTAAACAGTAATGAGAAGTATTTTCGTTTGATATGATGATCTACTTTAAGCCGTGCACAGGATTTACTTTCCGAGGATTTACTTTCCGATGATTTACTTTCCGATGATTTGATAACATATGTATACTAATTAATTAGTATATACTTTCCACATATCACCCCGTAATCTTGCTAATGATGCTAACGATTGTTCTTTCTGCAGTAGATCAGTGAAAACGTAAATATTAGGATGTGGTGCATTTACATGTTTTTTCATTCTTGAATGACGGCCTTCCAAATAATTAATTGTGCATTGCATTGCGATGATGATTATACATATGTGGTGGAAATCGCCCATTCGGACCATATGTATGATGGTATAAATCAAGAAATTGTGTAATATTCGCATAAGCTGGTTTAGTACGAATTAAATGCTGTAATCCGCACCACATATGTGCTATTGGTAATAATGATAGTGCTG